TGGTCCTCATCAAGGAAGATAAAAAATCTCTTCAACTTAAGTGAACTTACAAAACAAGTGGGGGCTTTACTTAACTTTCTCATTGGACAATTATAGATGATCTATGATTTAGGGTTGGGTACTATCTCGAATGGTGGGGATGCTATGATCGTTGTTTTTTGACCCAGGCCCGGCGGGTTGATCAGGGACCTGGTCGATTCGGAGTCGGAACCGGTCTGGGTGGGCTATTTGGACCGGACAACAAATGATACGGTCAAACCCAGTCAAACCAGGCCAAACCGGCCTTGACCCGGCCGACCTGGGGCATTAACCCGGTCGGGTCAAACCGGTTGACCCGACCCATATAAATTATTTTATTTTATTTTTTTCTATTTAAAAATAAACTATGTATGTATGTTTATATTGTAAATATTTATCATGAGGTATACATTATTAACATTTTAATGTACAAATTTTATACAAAAAAACATTTAATTTTGTGATTTTTATGTATATTTATATGACAAAATACTTTATATATAATTTTAAAATTAATTATCCAGTTCAGCAATTTACCCGGTGACGCGACGGTTGAACCGGTGACGACCCGGTGACCTGTGCGGGTCGATTACCGGGCCTGGTTTAAAAACTATGGCTATGATTGCCTTTTTTTTTAGGTATATGTTTGTACCACCATTTATAACATGAATAAATGTGAAAAAGAATCAAGATTTTGATATGGCAAGTTAATTTACTTTCATTTATTTTATACTCAAAATTTAAATTAAGTAACTGTCATTAATATTTTTTATATAATTAAATAATACAAACCAATCATTTTTATCAACTTTAATTCACTATTCATCCAGTCACCTAATCCATATTATTTCCAATCATTTACTCCTATTTTTGCATCATTTCAATTTTATCATTTTATTTTAAATTTTATTTTAATACATTCTTAAAATTTCACTAACCATCCATATTTTTTAAAATTAATATGGTTAACCAAAATAACTCATTTTAAAATTATTTAATAAACAAGCAAACCCTTAGGGGGTGATTGAATATGTATTCAACTAGTTTTCAATTGGTTTTGTCTAATCATCGTTAAAATTGAAAAAAAAAAGTAGTATATTTAGTTGTTAGTGGATATATTAAAATAATATTTAAAATAAAATAATTAAAGTTGGTTAGATTATAAGTATGAAAAAAATAGTTGGAAGTGATGGTTAGTTACAATAATGTGAGTGATGAATAGTGAATTCAAGTTCATGTGATGTATAAGAATGATTAACTGATATTATTTAATTATATTAATAATATTGAAAATAGTGAGACCGGATTAAAGTTGAGTTATATCACCCCCTTAATTGTTAATGTAGGAGGGCCGTGCACGTTTCTGCCTACGACAAGAACGAAGAAGATGACCATGTCCGGCCAACATTGGTCCCGGATTACGTGATCTCGACGCAGCCCGACAATTATTGGGCTCCTCACCCTAAGACAGGGGTGTTTGGCCCGACAACCGATGAAAAGCCAGCTTCCGATGGAGAATCCAACTTGCCTACGAATGCCGGTTTAGATTCCGTTTTGGAGCAGAAAGCGTTTTTCCGACCTATGGAGGACTTGGAAAAGCCAGGGGCACATTAATTGAGATGTGGAACCAAATTACCAACAATCTACTATAATAAATAAATTAATAATAAGACCTTATAAGTGCTGTGGTGTAATTAGATGATGATAAGACGGGTTATAGTGTATCGAGTGAAGTAGAAATTTGAATGAAAAGTTTATAAATATATCAGAACTAAACAAAATGATTTTACGTAAACAATATTTGCACAGCTATTTATCATTATATTTTGTTTTATATTTGCACTAGATATCCATAGTTTTAATGAAAGCACAAACCAAACGAGGTTACTTACATGAAGAAGCCGGTCCTATAAATTATTAGGCCGTGGGCCAAACATAAAAAATAATGACTCAACTATTTTGATTTTTTTTAAGAAATAAAATAATACATTTTAAATAATACCAACAACAATTCAACATTCTTTTTATAAAAATAAAAAAAATGAAATTACAATTTTTAAAATATTGCAACATCTCAACAAAGCTAAAAACAACTAAAATATAACAAAAAAATCACCGGTACAAAAGATAATGTCTTGGCAAAGTTAATATTCCAACATTCTTTTTCTAAAAAAAATAATAATTTCAATAGTTACAACCTCTCGATGAAGTTGAAAACAAGTAAAATCTAATAGAACAATAAATATAAATCCCACACAGTTATTACAAAGAATGTTAAGTTTCAAATAATAAATTTAAAAATCCACTATCGGTTTCAAATAATAACAAGTTAACACTTAACAATTATAACAACTTACAACTTAACTTATCCCACACAATAAATATAAATACCAAAGAGCAACAAAAACTAAATTTTAGAAATCCACTAATCCAAGCTAATCACTAATGCAGATGAAGTTGAAGACTACCAAACAGAGCAAAAATTTAAATCAAGTAAAAAAAATAAATTTTTAGTTAATTCAAATATTGAATTAAACAAAAAAAAAAGTTAAATTCTAAACAAGTAAACAGATAAAATTAACTCAAATAAACAAACAATTTATATAAATAGCCTATTTAGAAATCAAACTAAAATTCAAGAATAAAAAACCAAAAGAACAACATTTTTTCATTAATTAGGGGCCTTGTAATCTTTTTCGCTAGTCTTCATTAATTAGGGGCTTTTATTTTTTTTAATTTTTATTTACATTTTTTTTTTTAATTCATAGATGTTGGCATTTGGAATTGGCAGCGGCGCTCCTTTATGCACGGCTTCAGGTATAGAAGTGTAGTGAATATGGGCCATTATTCACATTTAGTTGGGTTTAAGCAATAATATATGTATGATATATATACAAAGTAAAGTGAGCAATAATATATGTATGATATATATACAAAGTAAAGTGTATAGCTGGTGCCCCTTTGTTTATTTGGGCTTTGGGCCATCGCCCAGGCTGCCCTGGGCCTGGACCGGCTCTGGACCTGACAACATCACTCTATCAAGTCACTCAAGAAGTAGAAAAAAATAACAGCAGCACCAGAAACATCACCCAGGGTCATCATCAGGGGCGTAGCCAGAAATTTTTCACCTGGGGCTGCAAAATTACTGATGTTATTTGAATTGAGTTGTCCACATAGTTTTGTTTGACATGTAAAACCTCAAGCTCGACTAGCTTGTATATTTGCACGAATTCAGATCAAACAACGAATTGAGTTTTTCTATCAAAAAAATCAAGTCGAGAGTGTCAGCGATCAACTCGGTATGAGTTTTGGGTTTCTGGGAGGAGCCTTATTAGGACCAGTGTGGGCCTAGGCCGACACTGAAAAAAAAAAAAAGTATTACTATTAACCCATGTTACTTAATCCAAAAAAAAATAAATAAATACTAATTATGCCCTATGAGCCTAATAAAAATTGTCCTACTCACAAAACTGAACTCGTATTATGAGCCCAATAAAAATTGCCCAACTCACAAAGTCTAAACTCCTTGTAATACTATTAGCCCATATGAGACCAATAAATAAGCTTAATATAATAAACTGATAAAATATTTAACACAATAATTAAACAAGATAAAAGAGTGCAGAGATCACGCAGACAAATACAGAGGGAAACAAAAAGAGGGGAAAATAAGGAGAAAAGGAAAAAGTCAAAGAGTTCATCGATTTTCGGTCCAGCTGTACAAGAATGTTACTTACAAAATAACAAAATTCTTTCTGTTTATTTTAGTAAAGATAAAAATTACTATTCTTTATTTTTTAGATAGTGGTAAATATATCATTTTTATAAAAAAAAAATTGCACATTCAAGCCCTTTTTAGGTTTACAACTATTTAAAGTGTAATATGTCAAAATAGAGAATTTTATTTACTGTAAATTTATAATATTATTTTTGCATGTCAGACATTGAGAGATATTTTCAAAAAAAAAACTCATGTCAACAAAATCTTATGAAAATATCTCAAAAGCAGATACATTGAATCCAATTTGAGGAAAATTCTAGTATCTTTGGGCAGAAAGAATGTAATACGAGAAATTTGGTATCAATGCGAAAATTAATCAAGATGATCAGGTTTTATCTTCAAGACTTTTCTATATTCGATGTTCTCATTCTTGAGGATCAGTTGTGAGAACTATATTGTTGATAAGAGCTTTGGCCGTTTTTGCATTTGTCATTTTCATTAAGTTTGTTATATTTTTAATTATATAGTTAGGCCCCCGCTCACTATTGTTGCTAGATCCGCCCCTGCCTGTCTACGTTGTAAGGTTTACTAAATGACTTAGCGACACGCACCATATTTACATGCATTTTACAGCGATTTTTGTTTCCGTTTCGTCCTGATATATATTTTTTGCTTGTTGTAGATAATTTTACTAAGCGATGATGAGGTGTTTTAATAGAAAATGGGATCGAAATAATTAATGGAGGCAGAACTGGAGAGAATCGGCCAAAGAATGTGTAACTCAATGTATCGGAAAAAGCCTAAATGATATAATTACATGGCAACCCATTTTATTTAATTTAGTGGGCCAAATATTAACTCATATACTAGCCCAAGAAAGAATAAATTGAAAAAACATCATGGGATGGCCCAAAAAGCTATCTATCTAAGTGAGGGTGAAAATATCATTTCAAACTTGAACATGAGTTGTCTTCTCCAAGCTCACGCATGAATGGAAACTTCTGCCATTGAAAAGCAGGAGCTACTCGAAATCTTGTTCCTTTTTGTCTATGAACTTCATTTGAACTCACACAACTCGATATTAGACGGGGCTAAGTAAAAAATTAGATAGGACTAGATATATAATTTTTTTTAAAGGTAAACCTAGTATTTTTTTTTTTTTTTTT